TTTGAGATACTTACAGATTCACATGCAGTTAGAAATAATCCAGAGAGGTCTTATACCCATTCCCCAATTCCCCCCACACACCATGGTAACATCTTATATAACTATAGTTCAGTATCATAACCACTTTCATTTTTTTTATTTCATTTTTGATAGTTTTTATTGCTATTTCATGAAGTTCACTAATCTTCGACAGTGTCTAAACTGCTATGTTTTTCATCTCAGACATTGTAGTTTTTATTTCTAGAAGTTTGATTTGCATCTGTTTTTATTTTGAGACTTTCTTGCTCTGTTGCCTAGGCTGGATTGCAGTGGCACAATCACAGCTCACTGCAATCTCTACCTACTGGGCTCGAGAGATCCTCCCACCTCAGCCACCTGAATACTGGAACTGCAGGTGCATGCCACCATGTCTGGCTAATTTAAAAATAATTTTTTTTTTTTTTAGAGAAATGAGATCTCAGTATGTTGCCCAAGCTGGTCTTAAACTCCTGGGCTCAAGTGATCCTCTTGCCTTGGCCTCCTAAAGTGCTAGGATTACAGGCATGAGCCACTGTACCCACCCAAGATTTGCATGTTTTTAAAAGAGCTTCCTTGCCTCTACTTACTATGTACAATCTTTTCTCTGGCTTCTTGAACATATAGAATATAATTATAATAACTTTAATGCTTTTGCCTACTAATTTTGTCATCAGTGCCATTTCTGGATTTCTTATAATTGATTTTTTTATCATTATGGTTCATATTTTTCTGCTTTGCATGCCTAGTAGTTTTTAATTAGATGGCAGATATTATGAATTTTACCTTATTGGGTACTAGATATTTTTTATTCTTATAAATATGCTTGATTCTTGTTCTTGGATGTAGTCACTTAGAAAGTGCTTCATCTTTTTGGGTCTTGCTTTATTAGGCTTTATTAAAAATGCGTGTTTTGTTTTAAAAAGAGAAAAAGCCAGTTATAAACAGTGCAACAATTTTTGTGATAGCAAAAATCTGTAACCATTCTAAATGTTTATCAGTAACCCTGATTATACTGTAGTAAGTCTGAACAGTGGAATCCTCTTAAAGTGGACCCTTATCATTTATACTACACTTGATCTTAGCCAAAAGGCCGAGAAGCGATGACCCTTATCATTTATTTGCTGGTCCTACCACCCTTCCAATTTCAGAGTCCCTTCAGAAATACACTACCGGACATCTAACTTTTGTTTAAAAAAGATTTATAGTCTTATGAGGTCCTACATGCATTGTTGTATTTTTAGTTCTTTCTTTTACTGAGCTGAAATGTAATAAGAGGAGAACAGTAGACAATGGGGGTGGCCAGGTAATAGGAGACAAGATGTTAAGTGTAAGACTTTAACTTTCTTTCTTAGTGAGGAGGGAAGCTACTGGATGGTTATGAACAGAAGTGTTCCTTGATCTTACATTTTAGAGCAGGAGTCAGTAAAGATTCTTGTAAAGAGCCCATATGGTAAATATTATATATCTTATGGATCACACAATCTCTGTTGCAACTTGTGTTGATCACATAAACTCTGTTACAAAAAGAGACATCTGGCAGGATTTGGCTCCCAGGCTGTGGTTTGTTGGCTCCTGTTTTAGGACTGAATGGAGTGCTATATTGAGAATAGATTCTAGGGAGCAAAAGTGGAGGTAAGGAGTCCAGATAAGGGGCTATAACAGTAATCTACATCAGAGATCATGTATAGACCCAGCAGACAGAAAGTAAATACACAGAGCAAAGGGGTTCTAGGACTTAGCCTCAGAACAACCTAACATTTAGAAGTCAGAAAGAGGAGGACTCAGTAAAATTGTCTGATAAGGAATGGCCAGAGCAAAAAGATGCCAAGAAGGAGAAAGTACAATAGTAGAAAAACAACCTGATTTTAAAAATGGGCAAAAGACCTGAACAGACATTTCCCCAGAGAAGGCATAGAAATGGCCAAAAGGTATATGAAAAGATGCTCAGCATCACCAGTCATCAGAGACATGCAAATTAAAACCACAATGAGATATCACCTTGCACCTGTTAGAATGGCTGTTATCAAAAAGACAGATAATTGTTGATAATAAGGGTATGGAGAAAAAGGAACCCTAGTACACTGTTGGTGGGCATGTAGATTGGTACAACTATTATGGAAAACAGTATGGAGGTTCCTAAAGAAATTGAAATTAGAACTACCATGCGACCTAGCAATTCCTCTTCTGAGTGTATTCACAAAGGAAATGAAATCACCACCCCATAAAGTGCAGCATTAATTGACCTCTCGTGTTCAGTGCAGCATTAATTGACAATAGTCAAGATATGGAAACATCCTAAGTGTCCATAAATGGATGAATGGGTAGAGAAAATGTATATAAAATGGGATACTATTTAGCCTTAAAAAAGGAGATCGTGCCACTTGCCATAGCATAGATGGACCTGGAGGTCATTATTCTAAGGATGCAGAAAGACAAAATACTGCATGATCTCATATGTGGGGGAGAAAGCCAAATATGCAGTGGTATAATATAATAAACATGAAGAAATAAAACTGGTTACCAGGGATAGGATGGGAGTGAGAGGAGGAAATGGGAAGATGTAGGTCAAAGGATACAAAATGGCAAATATGTAAGAGGAGCAAGTCCAACACGTAGCATGAGGACTGCAGCTAATGCAATTGTATTGCATTAGGAATTTCTGTGAAATAAGTGCACTTTAGCTGCTCTTATCACAAAAAAGTAACTATGTGAGATGATAGATACATTTATCTGCTTCATTATGATAACCATTTTACTTGTCTCTATGTATCCCATAACATCATGTTGTAAATCTCAAATATACACAATAAAATTTCATTTTTTAAAAAAGGAGAGAGTAATCAACTGTGTCAAAAGCTTGCTGTAGGTCCGATGAGATTAAGGCTGAGAAGTGAACACTAGCATTTGGTGAGGTCAAGATCAGTGGTGACTTTGGTAAGAATGGTTTCATTGAAGTCATGGGACAAAAGCCTGAACGGAGTAGGTGTGAGAGAATATGGACACAGGACAAAAGAGATGGCTGGGGGTGGGGGGGCGGGAATGGGCAAAAAAAAAAGAGAGATGGCCTCAAAGTAATTTTACTGTAAAGGAGAGCAGAGAAAAGGGAAGGTGGCTGCAGAATTGGAGTTTAGAGAGGATTTTTTCAACAGTGGTTAATGATTACAGCTAATATGCATTCAGCAATTAACACAACAAAATCTCTGTCCCATAAAGCTTACATTTTAGTGCTGGGTGGGGGCAGGAAGATAGAAAATAATAAAGAAACACATACTTATATTAAACTGGCTATGAGATGTAGCTACTCATATCATACAGACATATTCAAAATGATATTATCTCCTCTCCTCCCTTCCGCCACCTTTTCCTATGTTTCTCTTCCTTGTTTTTGTATTGTAAAAAATGCCACATTGAGGACAGAATCCTGTGCCTTTTTTTTTTTTTTTGAGACGGAGTTTCGCTCTTGTTACCCAGGCTGGAGTGCAATGGCACGACCTCGGCTCACCGCAACCTCCGCCTCCTGGGTTCAGGCAATTCTCCTGCCTCAGCCTCCTGAGTAGCTGGGACTACAGGCACGCGCCACCATGCCCAGCTAATTTTTTGTATTTTTAGTAGAGACGGGGTTTCACCATGTTGACCAGGATGGTCTCGATCTCTTGACCTCGTGATCCACCCGCCTCGGCCTCCCAAAGTGCTGGGATTACAGGCTTGAGTCACCGCGCCCGGCCAGAATCCTGTGCCTTATCCCTTGTAAGCATCCTGTCCTCAAACTCAGGCGGATTTTATTTTTTTTGCTTCACAAACAGTTGTCAGGTCTGCTCCCTTCTTGCCATCTCAACCTTGGCCCCTTAGCATTCACTTCTCTTCTGGATTGCTACTTCACCCTCTTAACTGGAGTCTCTGCCTTCATCCTTCCCCTTTAATCTGTTCTCCACAATGTAGCCAGTCGTCTTTTAAAAATATAACCTGAGTTTTAAGGGACTTGCTCAAGACCACAAAATTAGTAGAGCCAAGATTTGATTTCCTTATGTCATGCTCCTCTTGGGGCTGACTTTATGTAGGGGGTAGGAAGGAGCTGGGTCATCTCAAGCTAAGTAAGATATGAACATTGCCAGAAATGCATGTTTGTGTGTATCTGACAGCTCATCAATTTGTGTGATTTTGGTTTGTTTTTGTAGGTGCACAGGTTTCATATTCCAGAAGGTTGGAAAGTTGGCTGCAACAGCTGTGGGAGGTGGATTTTTTCTCCTTCAGGTCTGTATGTGAAATGTTCTCAGATGTTTGGAAATTCCACCTGCCCATTAAGGAATGCGGTGCGGGGAGTTGTAATACAGTCCTGGGTATGTTACACTAGAGTAGCCTTTGCACTTGTTTTTATTTACTATTTCAAATGCTAATGACCATTTGAGTCAAATTTTATCCATTATACTAGTAAATGTTATTTACCAGTCACATTTTATTTCCTCATTTGGGGACAGAAGTGCAAATTCCTTATCATAGCTCCCTTAAAAGAGTTTTTAAGACCAGCTGAAATATTAAGCAGATGTGATTGATTTCAAAACTGCAAGTAGGCTGGGATGATTTAGTTTCATATTCTAATATATCCAGCTTTTACAGAGGGGACATTGAGCATTTGATGAGAAGTGGGAGCCAAGTGACAGTGGTTGTCAGTTCTGTAGGAGAGACTAACAAGCAAGACTTGAAAAACAAAAAGGGAGCAGTTCCTCCAAAAACAAAAGAAAACCGACATTTGATTGTACTGGGCACACATTTCTTAGCTCTGTGGCATTGGTATTCAAACTTGGCTCCACATTAGAATCACCTGGGAGTTTTTAAAAGAGCGAACAAGTATCACCCCCAACCCAGAGTCTGATTTCAGCGGAAAACTTAAAACTCTTGAGGTGATTCTACTGTGCAGTGGTGCGTAGAGCTGCTCTGCTGTGGGAGCCATAACTTGCTGAATCATGGCGGAGTCTCTGAATTCACAGCCCTTTGCCTCTTCCCACTGTTGGCATCCCTCACTTTGGCAAGGTAACTTCTGCATTAGCACCATGATTGGAGTGAGTTCTGCAGATAGGTCAGGTGAAAATCAAATGTATTGAAGAGGGAAACTGGTAAGTGGCTGGAGCTGGGTTGAGTGTGGTATTGCTGCATGACAAATTCCCCCAAACCTAATGGCTTCAAATAATGATCACTTTATTCTCTCTCATGGTTACAGGAGTTTGGGGAGGGTTAACGTAGGTGCTTGTGGATCAGAGTCTCATGTGGTTACAGGCCAGATGATCAGAGGGCTGGGGTAGGTCTGGACTGGCTGGGCCTCTTTGTCTCTCTGTCTCTGTCTTCCCTCCTACCGTCCTTATTTCCCCCCTCTCCATAGCGTCAATGCTCTTCCATGTGATCCCTGGGCATGGGCCGGTATAGGCTTCCTCTTACAGCCATGACTTCAGGACTCCCAAGCACAGTGCTCCAGAAATATGGTGTAAGTTGCATCTCCTTTCTTGCCCAAGACTCAAAAGTCATGCAGCATCACTTTTGTTGGCTGTCTCCCTGTGGGCTTGTTAGGTGCTGGCTCTTCACACCTCTGTCTCCTTCCTCTTGACCATTCAGGCAGAAGTGCAGTAACAGCTCTATCCCTGTGGTTTCCCTTACATGCTGCCCCAGACTCCATAAACATCTTAATATTGCCTTGAAATGTCTTAATTTGAGTGTGACCTCTGTTTTTTTTTTGGGCCCCTGACAGAAATAATTGGTATTGCAAGTGTCTCCAGAAAGGCACGCAAAATGAGATTCTGGTGTTGGATGACTCCAATATTCAGGGGGTTTAGGGACACTGCTTTGCTGCACAGGTGAGACATGGAGAATCTGTGGCAGGCACTCATGTTATCTGTCACTAGAGGGGTGAGAGCAGGAGGCAAGCATAATTTTGAGAGATGAGTTATATCAGGAGTTATAGTTTGATATAGGGATCCAGTTTCCTTTTCTCCATACTGATAATTGAGCAGAATTTAGTGAATAATTCTTCCCATTCCCAACATTTACAGCATTGTCTCTTTCACATATGAAAATCCATGTATGTGTGGCTGTGATTCTGGTTTCTGTGTTATG